TTTTTTTTTTTTTATAATTACAACGGTTATATTTACCTTACAAAAATATAACCGTTGTAATAAAAGCAAAAAAATCTGATTGGTTGGAAGGACAAAGCCTGACGCGTGTCGCATCCCCATTGGCTGGGTCTGACGCGCGTCAGGCCAGCTGCCCCCTTATTTTTTTTCCCTTTTTGCCCCTCAAAACGGCGTCGTTTCGCCCTTCTTTAAGGCAAAACGACGTCGTTTTACAAGCCAGAAAGGAAAAAAAAAAGGGAAAGCAGCGTGTACATGTGGGGCCCACCGGTTACTGTTCACGAGTATTTCCCCTCAACTCTTGTGCGTTTTCCATAGCTCTCAACGGTGAGGGTTTTTTCCCTCACTAACGTAATGCTCGGGTATTTTTTTTACACCTTTATTTTTATTCGTGAGGGCTTTTTTTCTCACTGCCGGGAGTACTCTAAGACATAAATATGCACAATACTCCATAACACAAGTGCAGTAGAATTAAATAAAAAAAACGAAGCAAAATGTCGACAAAATGAGAAAGTGACAAATTTACAGCATCTGATTTACTTTTACAGGGTCGGTTAGAATTGAGGTTGTAAAATTGACAGAACTTCTTTACGAAGCTTCAAAAATTCTTAACCGTACTTTTTTTTTTTTTTTTTCAAATTACATAATGTAAAGCTAGTAGTCAGTAGTAGGAGAGTAGGAGTAGAAGATATGAGAGTGAGAGAGAAGACATAATCCAACAATATCCCCAGAACTCCTGTGTATTCGTACAATTGGAGAGGAGAGAGACTGTGTTTGTGAGACAACATTCACCTTGGAATTCGGTTTTCTTTTACCCCATTAATATATTGTGTACATTAAAATGTGTACCATAAAAACCCAATCACACCCTTTAAAAAGGTATTCTTATTTCTCCAGTCTTTTTCCTTGCATAATTCCATTCCCTTTACTTTCTGAAATTTTTTACTCGTACAAAAAGTCAACACTCTTTAACTGTTAATATTTTTCATTAGTTATTAGTAAAAGTTGTAATAAAATTATATTATCAAACTAGATATTATGACTAATCTAATGGTATATTGTATTCCATATTATATAATACGGAGTAACATTTATTTATTTTATAGAGGTGAAAAAATTAAGTCAATTCTCAAAATAAATAAGTCATAATATGTGAATAGTTTAAAAGTAAAAGTGGTGTATTTATAAAACATGGAGAAAGTATTAATTACGAAGTATGAAACTTTGCGTAGTTAACAATATATTTCATGACAAAGTAAGTTTTTATTTGCTTTAAATAAAAAGTACGGAGTACGTTTTTATTTAGTTTAATTTTTACAAATATAGTTAAAGTGAATATATTAATAATAAAAAAAAAGTCAAGTATGTCAATATTTTGAGACGGAAAGAGTACTTTTTTCGTCTCTAATATTTAGCTCATATATATGTCAATGTATAAATTTGACCTTGAAAATATATTTAAAAAAAAAAAAAAAAGTTAATACTATGAAAATTTATATGGAGTATTTAGTACCTATTCAACAACTTATTTATTGATAAGATTTGTTTCTAATATGTTACCCTAAAAATTACGATCAAATTTAATACTCCCTCCATTTCATAGTCTCATTTACATATATCGTTGCACATCTTTTTTTTTTAAAGCAATCGTTGCACATAAAGATGGGCAACGTACGGGCCGTGCCGTGCCGGAACAACTTTATTTTAATTAAGGTTATATTAATTATTTATCTAATTATGTTTAAGTTTATATAAACAATTTTATTACTTTAGCAAAAAAACAACAATACATATAATAATTAAAAAAAATTATGAGTGTCGTGTCGGGCCGGGCCGGGCCACGTGTCGTGCCGACCCACGGGCCGGCCACCGTGCCTCGTGTTGTGCCCGTGCCGATTCCTAGATTTTTGTTCATGGCACGGCCCATGGCCCACAGGTGGGCCGCAGGGCCATGCTGGGCCCGTGGTCTTTTCACCTTAAAAAAATAATATTAAGTAAAAATAACTTCAGTTCAGCAAAAATAAGTTCAGTTCAGTAAAATTAATTTCAGTTCAGTAAAAATAAGTTCAGTTCAGTAAAATTCGGTTTTCTTAAAGAGGAATTATAATAGAAAATCAGTAAAAATAATTGAACTTCAGTAAAAATAATTTCAGTTCAATAAATTAAGTTCAGTTCAGTAAAAATAAGTTCAGTTCAGTAAAAATAATTTCAATTCAGCAAAATTAAGGTGAATCAAACAGGGCCTAATAATATACTAATCAAGACAAGTAAAATTAGAAATCATATGATTATATTTGTTGTTATATATATTCCCCTTAAATTTTTATATTCAAAAGATTTTAAATGAAACTAACAAACAAAAATGGAGGCAATATAAGGGTTTGTTCTCATAGACTGAACTCAACTGAACTAAACTGAAGTGAATATTTTATAAGAGAAGGAAATTAGGAGCTGAACTGAACTGAACTGAAAATAAACGTATGAGAACAGACCCTAAAAATAGTGAAAAAAAAAATAATCCAACTCACCAATTATTTAAAGCAAAGGTAGTACTAAGCTATTAGTAATAGTGCTATTAAAAAAAAAAAAAAAAAAAAAAAAAAAAAAGAGCTATTAGTAATAGTGTAATGCATATGCATGTATTGTCTATCTATTCGTTCATGTTTAATGGACTAGTGGTCACAAATGCGTTTAATAATATACACATATACACAATACACATTATACACGGTACGATCTATTAGACATTTAGTCTATTGCAATTTAATCGTCACGTTCATGGTTATTGCTTTTCAATATTCGAAAAGGTTGAAACATTTTATAAAGGAGAAATGAATAATATGATCGATATGATTTTCCAAAGTGTATTTTAATACAAGCTTTATAAATAAAATACGGAATAACAAGTACTGTAATTATTTGATTATTATTACTTACGGGAGGTAATACCCTAATACGTACATACATATTTCATAAAACAAGGAATTAGGTCAAGTTATGATGTTGCAGTGTTTATGGCTTCGTTGTAACAATGGTGGTCTTTGTACTCTTTCTCTGTTAGGAATTAACTTAATCTGAAGTCTTAGCCCTTTTGAGAATTCACTTTGAATTTATTATCAGTTTTTGGATTAATTATTTCATTCTTTCTAATGAATTGAAAATTTATTCCGTATAAAACAGTCTACACTCTAAAACTTTACTCGTATTATCGCCTTACTCCTATTAGTCATTATTAACTCATCTAATTAATTAGTGGTATTGTCACTATGTATTATTAATAACGTTATTAAGTATCTCTTAAATTATTGTATTAGATGCTTGTCGATAACTTTATTTATATGAACAATACAAAATTACTACCTCCGTTTCATATTATGTACAATATTTACTAAACATAGATGCTACACTTTATTTGCAACAAATGTTCTCTTTTCTTTTATTGGTTGTCATTTCTCTCTATCTCTCTCCTCATCACATGATTTTTTATATTTCTCTCTCCATTTACCACTCTCATACAAATTTTGTCTTAGAGTCTGTGTCGATGTTTTTGTTACACATAATATGTAACGGAGGTAGTATTATTTACACATGTTTAACAATAACCTTAGCTCATTTGAATTCGTCATACCATAAACTAATAATGCGATTTATAGAGTGGATAAAATACTAGCTAGAATAAGTATTTATATATACCAACCATTTTAAAGTTTTCCTTGGAAAATTTGAGCATGTGACCTCCAAATCAGAAGCTAATCCCATTTTAACTGTTAGATCAAAACCAGCTTGGAAAAAAGATAATTAAAGCATATAAGAAATTGAAGAAGATCAAATAAGGAAAATGATACTGCAACATCATTTTGTTTGTCGTCTTTATTGAGCAATACTCCTAGTTAAATAAATACTCAAATTACCTATTCTACTCCTTTTAATTAATGAGATTTATTATTTTGCCTTGTAGGGTGGTCAGCCTCCAAGTTATAAACCCCTCCCACTAGTTTATTTTACCTTTATATATACGGAGTATATTTTTTTAATTACGAATAATCTTTTATTTTATGATTAGATATTGATAGTCAAAGATATGACTTGATTATTGTTTAGTTAAAATAAGACAAATATTAAATCTCAAAAAAAAAAAACAAATATTATATTTTTGAATAAGTGTATGGAGTAATAAATTAACACAATTCAATTAATTATGATAATGTTTGTAAAAAAAAAAATTATGATAATGTTAAGTATAAAACAACAATTCCTATTTTATGAAGTTGAATTTATGTAATTTTTTACACATTTAATAAATTTTGAAACCACGCGATACTTGTATAATACAATTGTACTCCTTGACTCGTCCTAAGAACTAACTACATGAAATAATTAAGGCAATGCAAACGAATGAACATATCTCGTTGCACATATAGTTCAATCATAATGATAATTTGAGAATAGTTTCAATGGTAAGTTATATCAATATTCAATATACAAATTAAATTTCTCTAACATATAAATTTTCTGAGTAACTCCATCTCCATGCATTCTTTTGCCACAATAATGAGGAGTTTGAGGACCATACTACAAAGTTCTTTTTCAGACTACCAAATACTCCATTAAAAATAACAAAAATTCACAATGCAACTACATTAATATTAACAAAAAAGAACAATACGATACAATTAAAAAGTTGTAATACTCCGTATTATAACCAACATATTTCCAAAAGCATACATTTTCTTACAAACCCTAAAATCACTAATTAGCATTTTCTTACATACTACTAATAGTGTAATTAGACCTAACCGTTAAGTACTTACTAATACTATAATTAGCTAGCTAGCTAATCCAAAATATTAGTTGGATCCAATAATTCTACCTACATACAATAAGTATAAGCCAAATTAAGTTTAGAAAATGAAGGATCCAAATAAATTTGGTTTAAATTACCAAGACCTAGATAAATAAACTTAATAGTTACTCAACAAAATAAATTAGTGGCCAAGACATTTAGCATTACGAGGTGTAGCAAACATATTGTAGAGCTCATTGTACTGAAATATTCCACCAACATGACGACGATGATGATCCTCCATTATCACTTGCTCATTGTACTCATATTGTGGAACCTCAACCATGCCACCTGGCATCATACTCCCCTGAAACGACACCGTTTCGCCACCACCAAAACTACAGCTTCCACCGTTTAATGGGTTGTTGTTGTTGTTGTAAGTATCATCAAAGCAAAGCCCAAAACGGTCATTTTCATTGTTATTGGAAATAACAGGTGAGTGCTCAGAGTAAGATTTGGTGGGTTTTGGGAAGTATTTCTCAATGATTTCTTCTAGAAGACCAGATGATGAATCCGACGGTTCAAACAATGGGAACAACTCCATTGTTCCATCACCACCGTTGATTTCATCATTGCCGTTATTTTGATCATCAGGAGTATTGTTAACGGTTGATGATGAGGAATTAGAAGGAAGGAGTACAATGTTACTGTGGGGTGAAGAAGAGGGGAACAATTCACTAAATTTGTTACAATAATTTACCTTCTTTTTGTTCCTCTGTGACGCGGCTACAGGAGATTCAGTGAACCCGACCATCATCCCTTCATCACAGCCGTTGATTATATTTTGATGATTTTGTGTTTGGGTTTGGGTTTGGGTTGAGTTAAGCCATTCCACGAAAGTGGGATTTGGATGGCTAGGATTTGAGCTAGAGGTTGTATTTTTAAACTTAATGGACGGCTGAGATTTCTTCTTCTTATTATTGTTAGAACAAGGATTACTAAAAAAAGGTGGTAAAGGAGGAGGGTACATAATGTCATGATCAACATGAGATGAAGAAGTAGTGTAAGTGAAGTTGGTACGTGCCTTGGTTCCACGCATGGCACGTGCCGCAGTGTCGTAAGCACACGCCGCTTCCTCGGCAGTATCGTACGTGCCGAGCCAGCGGCGTTCCTTAGACTGTGGGTCTCGGATTTCAGCTGCGTACCGGCCCCATGGCCTACGACGAACACCTCGGTATCTCATGGTCGTGGTCGTGGCCGTGGCCTTAGGGGTCTTAGGAACCTTCTTGGCGGGTTCAAGGGGTTTATCAGGATTATCATCAAAGGAGTTGGCGTAGGTTGTGGTGAAATAGTAGTGATGTTGTTTCAATTGTGGATCCATGTTTATTTTTTTGTATTTATGTTTATTTTTTTTGTACTAGTAGAAGTGGTAGGAAATAAAAGAGAAGTTAAAGAAGAGTTGGAAAGTGAGAGTAGATAGACATACATGCATGCAAGTATTGGTATTTATATAGGCCTAGGGAGAGGGCGTGGGGAGGAGGATTCTAATTGGTTTATGATGTTCATGGGTTGATGTAGATGTCATATCTTTTTTAGTATTGGGAATGGCTAAGATTATTGCTCTAAAATGGACCATATATGTAGAGTATTTGATCATTAACTCTCTTTTAATTTAGACTCAGTTTTTATCAAAATTTTAACATCACTTTTTGTTAGGTTATAATAAGGTGATTGTAGCTTGAATGTTAAAATTTATTTAGTACTCGCATAATATAAAGTTAGTCAGTATTTTTAGTTTTACAAGCTTTATCTATCTCTATATAATTATGTCCTATAATCATTCATCGACCAATATTAGCTACAAGATCAATTGTAACAATGATGACAACGATTGAACACTAATTTAAGGGTCTGTTTATATTTACTTAATTTCATTTCAGTTCAGCTCTAATCAGTTTAGTTCAGTTCAGATCAGCTCTTAATTTCCCTCTCTCATAAAATATTCAATTCAGCTCAGTTCTGTTCAGTTCAATTCAGTTCAGCTCAGCTCAGCTTTAATCAGTTCAGTTCAGTAAATATAAACAGGCCTAAGGGTTTTCACACATTGCTAGTGAGCTACATAGTACGTACAATATATTTTTGCACAAGTGTATCTGATCTATTTTTGATCAAATCTAATTTAGATGTAATAATATCGCTTATTTCAATATACTATTCCACGATGCTTGGTCTTTTTGTAGGCCTATAACTTAACTTATTCGAACCATTAATTTAATGCACAGCAGCACAGGTGTTTTAATATTATTGTCAAGAGTTGAGTGTTATAGGCAATTTCCAATATTTGTTAGCTGCTTTATCAAACCAAGCATTCGAATTTCAAAATCTCCAGCCTTAGTCGAATGATTTATTTTCATTCAAATTGTACAAGAAAAAGGCTTCACACTGCAGGACCTCATATAGTCATATACATGGCTTACCGGTCAATTCTTATAGTGCCTTGTTAAGTCGTACTCTCTCCGTTCCTAAATTACATTTTTGTTTTCCTTTATTATGTGAAAAATAAATGCTAAAAACAGGAATTGTAATTTAGGGATGGAGGGAGTATGTGATTTTTTTTATAGGTCCATATACATGGCTCGACAGTCAATTCTTATGGTACCTTGTTAAATCAAATGTAATATTTTCATATATCCATCTACTATTGTTTGGGGTAACTTAGCTAAAGAGGCCAATCACCCGAGCTTCAAACTTATATTTTAATTTTGTCACAAGCTAAGGCAATTCGCTACATACTCCTAGTACATTTACAACAAAAGGTGATATTCTCCGTAATTTCTTGATGGCGAATTAATGAACAAATTCAATTGTTTTGTACACACGGTAATGTGGAGTAAATACAACTCGTGTTTGAAAACAGCTGCGTATTATTGAAAGAGTAGTAAATGAATTTTAATATTTCCGAGGTTAATTGGTTATGGTTTAATTAATAAGCATTACATAATCAAAACAAATTATTTAATTAGAGAGAGAAAGTGCATTTTTATTTGTGCCTCGAAGAGAACTTAAATAACCTAGATGGACAAGGTTTCTTTTCCATTATTGCGCAACTGAACTCAATATTTGCAAACAGTATTCTTACTCCATAATAATAGTTATATGTACTCTACTATACGACTAGAATTCTATGTCTATAGAATGTCATGTCCAAATAAAGTTAGATGGAGTGATTTACAAATTACCATTCATTATGTACTTTTAAGACTCTTCAAGGTACTTCAAAAAAAAAAAAAAAAAACTTTTCACGGCTCCAAATTCTTTATAACTTCGGCTCGGTTTATAAATAAATTCTGAATCCGCCCTTGTCGAGGAGTCAGTAAGAACCACCCTTTATGTGAGAACCTATTTGTGTGAGTACAAATCTCAGCCATTAAATCATATTAAATCCAACAGCTGAGATTGTTCAACTACTAATGACAATAATGTAATTCTTAAAACAAACACATCCAGGCCCCAAAACCAAAATTACGTATAATTTGTATAACCCTCTTTCTCTCTCTTCAAAGTTTGAAGGTGGAATTACAATGGAGACTAAAAATTGAAGGTCCACGATTTCTCTCTCCTCTTCTTCATTGCTAATTTAACAAATGAGCAAATACTTAGTTGCTAATTTAACAAATGAGCAAAAACATAGTTGCTCATTTGTCAACAAACATTTCTTTAATCAACAAGCATTTGTGAAATGAGCAACCACTAGTTTGTTAATCTTTCAAATAATTGGTTACTCATTTGTAAAATAAGCGAACATTTCTTTGATCATTTAATTTGGAAATGACCAACTAATTTTGTTGATCATTTAGCAAATGAACATATGGTTATTTGCTCATTTGTCGGCAAATACTTAGTTGCTAATATCACAAATGAGCAAAAAACTTAGTTGATTACTGTCAAATGAGCAAAGATTTCTTTAATAATTCATTAAATCAAAAGCATTTCTTTGCTCATTTGTGAAATGAGCAACCATTAATTTGCTCATTCGTCAAATAAGCAAATAATTAGTTACTAATTTGTAAAATAAACAAACATTTCTTTGATCATTTGAAAAATAAGCAATCATTTTTTTGCTCATTTAGCAAATGAGCGAATAGTTACTTGATCTTGCTCATTTGTCAAATGAGCAAAAACTTAGTTGTCAATTTAACAAATGAGCAAACTTAGTTGCTCATTAACATTTTGAACGGAAATTGAATCGAAAATCGCCAAATATCTCAAAAAAAAAAAAAAAGTTGACGAAAACCTTAATTAATGAAGAAGTCAATTGACGAAAACCTTAATCAATCAAACTAAAATCAATGAAAATCACCTTGACAAAGAATCAATGAAGTTTGAAGAAGAATTGTTGAAGAATCAAAGCAAATAACAGTAAGAAAGGGAGTAGAGAAATTAGAGGAGAAAGAAAATGGCACGTCGAATGAAGGAGGAGAGAGAAAACACGAGAAAATTGTTTTTGAAATCATGTTTGATTGGGATAAATTGGAGGAATTGGATGCAATTGATCCAGCGGTTGTAATATGTCGTCACATATAATAGGGTTCTCACACAAGAGATGTACTCTCTCTCTCTACACACACACACACTATTCTCTACGTCCCTTATTTATATGCCTATTTAAAAAAAAACACAATTCTTCACGGCGAGTAATAAATATTAGAAATAGGCATATAAATAAGGGACGGAAGGAATATATACAGAGAACAGAGTAGCGATAAAATACACTTATTAGGTAGGGTTTAATAAAATCTACAGTGTCATACATTTCCAAAAACATACACCTTAATGACATCCTGCACTAACATTTTCATAATACAACGTTTTTACAGTTATTTTACAAATATTCTCCACATACATATTGTAAAGTGATATAGAGTATATTGAACCACAAAAACAAGATAATTTCGACTTTCTCCAACTTAATATTTAAAAGTTGGAAATTTTGACATTTACTACCTGGAAAAGGACCCTGCTTCACATTTACTACCGCTTTAATTTTTTAATTTACTTTGCTACCACCTAAATCAGAGTTTATTAAAATCACTACCACTTAACGGAATCTGTAAGTTTTTTTTAAAAAATAAAAAAAACCAGCCACCCAAAAAACCCTAGCCCCTCCCCGTCAGCTCCCCCTACCGGCGGCCAGCGCCCAAAGATGCGGCTGGCGCCGACGATTTGGGTCGGAATCAAACCCCTCCCCTTCCCCACCCAAAACCGACAATCCTAACCTTATACCACCTGCCCGAAAATGGCAGGGAACTCATTTGCGCTGCATAAATTGCGATTTGTGGTTGATTAGCGAACGCAGACGCGGCCAGAAAAGGGAACAGGGGACGAGGAGGGGCTGGGATCGAGTTTTCGACGGGAGAGGGGCTGGGATCGAGTTTTCGACGGGAGAGGGGTTGGGATCGAGGGGGTTTTCGAGGGGAAAGAGGGGCTGAGATCGAGGCTGGCCACAGAATCGGGTTTTCGAAGGGGCTTGGAACGCGACACCGGCGCCGACAGGCTGGATGGTCGGAGTCGCGGGCATGGGATTAGGCTCATGCGATGGTGGCGGTGGCTTGGGCAGCTGGTGGGTGGGGAAGGACGGGTGGCTGGACCAGTGAGTGGTGGTTGCGGTGGGTTTGATGATGAATAATGGCGGTGGATTAGCAACTGGTGGATGGGAAGGAGTGGTGGCTAGACGGAGGTTGGGTGGTGGTAACGGAAATACTAACGGTGTAAGACAAGTGGTAGTGATTTTTAACTAACTCTGATTTAGGTGGTAGCAAAATAAAATAAAAAATTAAAGCAGTAATAAATGTGAAGTAGGGTTCCTTTCCTGGTAGCAAATGTCAAATTTTCCTTAAAAGTTTTCATTGTCATTTTTGTTCTCCATAGTGAAGTGGTGAAATTGAAATAAAGCTCCCAATTGTTTTGTTCCTCTTAAGGAATTTTAAAGTTGAAGAAAAATAAATTAATTTCTACATAAATAAATTAAATTCCGCTATTGAAAAGAGCATATCCTTGAATAGTGTCTCGAATAATAGCATTGCACAATAACCATACACCTAATGCTATAATATCTCATTAACAAAACAATCTAAAAACTACTCCGTATTACTCAGACATCACATATTCTTAGGTGCACACTCATGCACCTAGAAATAGGTGTAACAACAGCACAATATGAACATTAGCTTTTGAAAAAATGAACATTAGCTTTCTTCTCCTCTATTTTTCTCCTTCGTTTTTTATTTTCTCTCTCCTCTGTTTTTTTCCCCTTTTTTTACACTTTTTTTTTTATTGAATTTGTTTCTTACAACATGAAAGTAGTTATTAAGTATGAATTTTTTTTGTGAACTTCGATTTTGTGTTTAATTTCGATTGATTAAGGTTTATATGAATATTTGAATTCACAAATTATACTCTGTTTTTTTCTCCTTCATTCTTTAATTCCTTTTTCCTCTGTTTTTTTTTCTAGTTTTCTCGTTTTGTTTTGATTTAACGATTGAATCTGTTCCTTACAATATGGAATTGGTTGTTTATCTGATTTTTTGAATTCATATGAATTGATTTTTTTTAGCTTTGATCAATTTCATATGTGTTTCATTTGATTTTCTTCATTTTTTTTTATCAATGAACATAATCATGCAAAATATGAACATATGCATAGGTTCTTTAAATATGCGTAAAAAAATATGAACGTACGCTATTAAGAAAGAGAACATATGCATAAACAGACTTAATCAGTATATTTATGAACAATAAATATTTACTATGAATATTTACATTATGAACATATAAAA